TTATACAACAGCTCGAACTTTTTTTTGCAAAAAAGTCAACACATTTGTGAGGAATTTAGAAAGGGGGGGGGAGAACAGTCTCCACTATTAAAAACATTGCGACAATAGCACTATCACATCTTCTTGATTGAGCTAGCAGAATGCCTGTGCAAGAATGCTTGGGAACGAAAACGTTTTGCTACGAAGACCAGTTTTCGTCGTCATTCGTCACGCGTATCGTACTCGTCTTCCAGAGAATCGAAACTCGAGGATTATTTATGAGTTTAATTTAGCTTAAATTACAGCCGATACATACACACTCGCTCTACAAAACTGGTTTCGAATGTCGATTTACCACTATATTTCATTTGCAAATCGCCGGCTTGCATCAATTCCAATGCACTTTTGTACTTTTTCGCATCATTGTTTCATCTCATCAAGATTCATATTCGTATTTTTGCGTCGAACTGTTTTGGTAGTGTATTCGTTCGTCCGTGACCGTGAACTCCATATTAGATTTGTTCAAATGCGTTGCGAGAGTAAGCTGTGCAAATAGTTTGATGGGTAAGGGAAGTAGATTCGGGAGTAGTTTTGTGAAACAGAGTAGGTGATAAAAACAATTCGAACAGTGTTTATTGTGACGGAAGCATTTTTTCGTGTTGGGACAGCGAGCAGGTGCAGATTTGGTATTTTGATTTTTTCCGACTGTGTTCTAAATATCACTTCCCCGTATTTCATAATATTATTTCTTTCTACCATGGTTTTATTGCTCGCTTGTTTTGCGCGTTCTCTTATGCTTCTTATGATTTCTTTTCAAATCATTCAACTTTATTAATTTCGTAGGTATTTCTTTTTCCGGAAATATCTTTTCTATGAACGTCAGAGAATTTTGAATTTTTGGCAAGATTTTGAATTTTTCTTTTCACATCTGTCGTTAGTCGTTCGTCCGTCACACGCGAGTAGTAAAACAATGCAGAAATTCAAAGCTGTCCCTGTTGGTTGTAAATAAGTCCCTAAAGCAAGTGTTTTGACTTTCTGGGTATTTTATTGCCTTTTATGGCGCTAGTATTGAGTGTTCAACATCGGAGGTTCATACATCCACCTCTTCAATGCATTCTCTTTATTTGTTCATTTTTTCTTCAAAACTCATCAGTCAGAAATCAAGATGATTAATTTTCCACGATCTACAACGGCATATGAATATTTGTTTGAGTATGCAGATTATTTTCTGAAATACTGTACAGTAGCTGAAGGAAGAGAAAGCACGAGAAAAATCTCTAACACTTATGACTCTTCTATTCACTTGTAGATGAGCAGCTGGAACTCAGAATTATTCCCTGCTTTATCAAATTCCAGAATTTTTATAATGGTCCTTGCTTTTCTACTTGTTCGTGTGTCATGCTCCACTGTTTGTTTGCTGATTTTATCAAATATTCTTTCTTTAAGCCTCTGACTAAATATGTACGTACCTTTCTAATAATTCATTTTCATTATCACGACTATTTATCTATCAATTCTTCAATTTGCCTGCAGCTACGTAACTATAATGGTTTCTTTTCAAATTCACATATTCTGGTACTAAAAATCTTGAACTTTCGTTTTTGATTTTGTTCTATTTAATAAGCAGAATACACGCCGCTTGTGATAGAAACAATTGAAATAACCAAAGTTAGAGAAGTCTAATTGAACCTGCTCCTCAACAGCTTCTGAGAATCTCTTACTTTTGTAGAATCAATTACTCTTGGTGAAACTGTACAAGAGTTTCTCTCTTTTAAGTATATAAATACAGCTGCGAAATCGAGAATCTCAAAAGAAAATTACTCGAATGCAATTTCCATTTCCTCACTTCACTTTGCAAATAATAGTGTCTTTGGCAGCAAATGTTTTCTTAGAAGCAAAAGTCAATCAGAATCATTGCGTTCTACTTTGTGTGACAGAATGTAATGAATTCCTTCGTTATTGCGAAATACCACAAATTTTTTGTTCCGCATTTTTTGTTCCATGTACGTATATTGTCGCTATGTATCTAGTTCGAAACGGTTTACAATCCTGCGTGTTGATTCTGCTGCGAACGTATTTTTTGTAGCGAGTGCCTAAAATAAAATGTGCTGTTTTGTCACAATGACACCTCACCAATGTTTTCCGTCATGAAAGCAGTGTCAATAACTAATGGGCTTCTCTTCTTTCTAAAGTTTTCATCCTGCTTGCGCATCGTAGGCGTTATCTGAGTGCATCGTCAAGTGTAGGTGTGATATGCAGATACTTTTGACCTTCCACCTAATGCATGTTTATTTACCATGGTTTTATCATCTCATTATCAGTTAGGAGAGGTCGCTTCGAATAATGAGTATCGGTCAACATGTACTCACTCTACCTCGCTATCATTTGCTTAGCGAGCTTGAAACTTTTTTTCCGAACTTTTGTCATTTTTTAAACTAGTTTTTACCACAAATGAGTGTCCATTAGCACCTGTTTATATGCAATAAAGACATACTTCGCTTCATACTACAATTTGTAAACTTCATGCCAGTTTTGTGGACCTACTTTCTCCACTTTCTACTTCCACTCATTAGCTGCGACATTGGTTTACCCTAGAGCTGGGATAACATTTCTCCTGAAACGCATGACATCATGTGGTTACACCCTTCATGAAAAAATTTTCTAAAGTAAAATAGTTTGCTTATGAGCAAGCAACACCGGATAATTCTCGTACTTTCCAAATCCTTCAAAAGTGTCTATTCTCCAATTCTCGGAGTCCTAATCTATCCTGTTAACAGTTACCTACAAAGGCAATTCTCTACATACTCACTGTATTGCAGTTGCTTATATTCCTCCTGTGCCGAAAAGGGTCGCAAGATCTCTTTTAATGGTTTCGTTAGAAAACCGTACATGTACTTGTTTTCATTTCCAATCCTAAAAATTATTTTGAGAATTCTACAAAAAATCAGATCAGGATAGCAAAAAAAAATCAGGTAGCAGCCCTATCACTTTTGTCTCAGTGCCACAAGTTCGCCATGATTCAAAAAGCATCCAGATTTGTTCGCCCCTCCTTCACTGGAAAAATTGCGCGGAAAAATTCCCTCCCCATACAAACAATGAACTGTAGGTAGTTATTGCTAAAATCCCATTTTCCAGTCTCTCCATAACTTACTTCGTATATTTTAGTGCATATTCTTGCAGAATCTTTCTTTATCTTTTTTCACTTGCCTCAATCTCGATTGGTTCCCAAATTGTTCCTTGCTCGTGATTGCTTCCGGCTTTTTCCCTCTTGCATAATCTCGTTTTGCACACTTTCTGTTGTCCACTGTGGACAGCATTTTTTGAAAAGAAATCCTGAATATTAATCAGTGTTTGTTCATTTCCTCAAGCCCGCTCCTTTGAAACTTTCTTTTGAATCTGTCATATTTACGTATGTTGGCTAATAATTGGAAAGCGTCTCTATTTTGTAAAACAATCAAATACACTGGTTTGTCTTTAGACATTTTGCATTCTGTGCGACTAGCCACAGGTTTTAAGTCCTCTTTCTGCTTCTAATTTCTAATGTTTATTATTAGAAGAACTCATTTCAGCCGCATCGCACAAATAGTATACATTCCTGTTGTTCTTGCAATGATGGGAACATACCACCTTGTCATTTCTTGTATTTATGTGCCTTTGCTGAGTTCGTAAGCATTATGACTGCACCAGATTGCCTTGCATGGTTTGCAAATTTTGCCATTACTGATGCATGAATAATGAATTTTTGTTATACTTTATTATAAGTAGGTATTAGTCAAAAGCTTTTAGAAATTTTCCCGAAAAATTAGCTTTCATTTTCATGGTTTGCCCCCTAAGTTTTCGTAGCTCGTAAAAGGGCTAAGATCTTCTGTCTCTACTTCAGCGAAAGAGACTCTTTAGCAAAATAATGAACAAAATTTATTGCTTGGTTTGGATTTCTCCATAGAACTATAATATTTTTGAGCTTCTCAACCTAGCAAACCTTAGGGTCCACTCTTTTGAGCAACAGAGGGAGCGCAACGATGCCTTTACTCCATATTATTCAATCTTTACATCTAGGTATTTTCTACATATCTTTCCCTTCGATCAGAATTTTTCATTAGTGTCCCAAAAACTCAATAAGTTTTCTCTTTTTTTCCATTCATTTGTTAGGCTGAAACAAGTAAGGATATGCTCTACGACATCAGGATAATCTGAAACAGCATGTGAAGAAACAGAAAGAAGAAACATGTTTGAAAACTTTTTTGAATGAAAAATTCATTATCGGAGAACTTAAACTTTCTCTCATTTGTATCTAAAGAACATTTTTGAACAGTTTTCATTCGTGTAAGGCGCAAAAGCCTTTTTGATTTATACAGCAAGGTAGGAAAATCTCTAAATTCTTTTTGGAAGAGGAAGGTAACGGAAGATACATTGAATTCAAGAAGTAGTGCCAGCAGGAATGCAAGAAGTAGTGCTAGCAGAAATAGAAAGTCAAACTAAGTGGACAGCTGTTCTCTTTCGATCATCCAATGGGATAAAATTTCTTCAGCGAAAAACTTCTTGAAATAAAATTTTCTTCATCCAAACATTTGACGCCACCATATGAAACCTAGTATGTGGGCGATAGTGGAGGAAATGAAGTCATTGCGCTGAACGCTGTTAAAATTCTAACGGGATTTCAAAAAATAATGCAAATGAAGAGCTGGCGCAAAGAGAAACTCATTTGCATATAAAAATTTATCAGAGCAAACAGATTTGCTGGATGCTCAGAGTTTGGCTTCCGATCATTGCTGGCTGTTTACCTGAAAATAGAAATATTTCTAGATGAAGGAATGTAACTCTATTTTTTTCATTGATCTTCCTTCGTCTTTCCAATTTTACCAGTATTGATTATTTTGTTATTACTTTATACGAAAGGAAACACAAATCAAAGCCAATATTTCTATTTTGCTATGTTCTTGGTGCCAGTTCAGCTACTAGTTGTATATATCCACATCGGGACGAGTTTCCCATAGTGCAGTGAGAATCGCAAGCGTTTGCATATGACCGGCAGATTATTCAAATATGGTGTCCGTTCGAACCTTCTCGTTCGAACCAGGACTCGTTCTCATTTTGTAGTATTCAATATTCTGCAGTACGTTGTCACTGTATTATTCGCAGTACATCAGGTAATTCTCTTTCTTCACATTTTTTTTCCTTTTTTGGACTCTGAAGCAAATGCAGGAGAATTTGTTGTCGAGGTGCTACTTGATGCGTAACCTATTCATAAATTTGTCAAAAATATGGGAAAGATTCCTGGTTGCTGGTCTCTTTTTGGTTGGCACCTTGTAAATTAGTATAATAGACACCTCAGCATGGTACATATTTATAAACTTTTCACCCATTGCAATGTAATTGCTAAACTTTTTCATTATACTCGACACGCCGAAATTGTGGTGGACAGAGGCGACTTTGCTTCTGTTCTATTATACTAACGTTTTATAACAAAATTTTCCTCTAGGAAAATATCCATATCCGCCTTTTTGGTTTGATTCTCTGTCTTACATGGAAAGATTATTTTTGCTTAATGTTTGCCTTTTTTTTCAGCAGCTGTACTCTTTTCCACATCTTTGAACAATTCATAACAGTGTGTCGGCGTAAATGTTATTCTAATCTATTTCTGGCAATTATGATACAAATTTTTCGATTGCATAGCTAACCTCGCCCTTGCTTCCGGCTACCTGTCTCTCATCTCTTACTGATAATTCGCTTCCATTAAAAAGTTGCTTCCGTGATTGAGGATTCATGAAATAGCCCGCTGGGATGCTGTCCTTGGAAATATGGCAAATAGTGAAAGTTTTTCTATCACCAGTTTTTAATATTTTTTTGGGTAACTCACATTTTTAAAAAAGCGAATCTTTGTGATTTGAGCCGGGTGCCAGCTAGCAAATTTCTACACGGCTTATTATCTTTCAATTCCTTCCATATTCCTTCGAACTAACAAGGAAATACACAAACTACCATCATCACCCTCGTCCATAATCAGATGCGTCGAGCTATTAATGGTTACGATTCCATAAGAAACCCTCGAATTAGTCATCATCTTCACACGTACTTTCCTGAGAATCATTCCAGCTATACTGTTTCTGCAAGATTGATGGTAGAGGAAAAGCGATCTTCTCCTTTGCTATCATTTCAGCAGGCAGGTATAGGCTATTGCGCCAACTTGTAATTTCGATTCCAAACCGATTTTTCCCACGCTGTCGGCATCTTTGAACACTCAGCACGCAAATCGAAACTCGACGTAGGGTTAGTTTACTTCTGACTTGCGAACTGTTTAGAATGAAGCGTTTTTGATGTCCAAAATGGATTTTGACTCTGCCTGTCTGCTGTTATTTCTAGCCGATTTCGTCATTGTCAACTTGCTATTGTCACTTCCCATCCCAAGTTTTTGCAGCTTTTAAGAGGTTTTCTATTGTTTTTTTTCACTAAATTTTGAAAGATTAGTACTATATATTCAATAGCATTCCGTCTATATATGGATTAAAACAATATTCATTTGGCTAAACGATACGTTGCTAAAACATTTTTCTTGTGCATTTTTCTCCCTCTGAGAGATTTCTATTCTCATCCAGCAGGCATAATTTTTTTTCAGTATTTTTCGAACATCCAAGAATCTTTTAATCAATCACTGATTAGAGATATATGCTGTTTGTGATGAAATTTGCAGCGCAGCTGAGTAATCGATATATCGATTGAAGGACAATTTTTCCCTTTGCTCCACCTTTTTAGTAATTTCTCTTCCATACAGTGCTGTTCTAATTTGAAGTTCTAAAAATGCTTCATCAATGATTTTTCTACTAAATGCTTTGTTTTGTTGTAAACATTTAATGATTATTGATTTTTCAGCCAATTATCGATTAGCAGTGTGTCGTCGCCGCAGCCCACAAACGAATCGTTAATGATTCGTGCACGAGAATCACCACCAAAAGGACTTGTGGAAAAACGTTTAGCACAATTTACACAAGTCGAACAATCAGCATCGGCAGATGAGGCGAGTTGATCGATTTATTGATTTTTCTTTGCTAAAAAATTTTTATTTTTCATTTTTGCCCGTTCTCCTGTGCCAGCGGCGTGCCAGAGCCGTGTCAGCACCAAGCTAACGGTGACCCAGCGTCGGAAACCCTTTGCACCCCGTAACGATCAATCGACGTCTCGGCGCAGCGCTGGTACGGTGCTGGCACACGCAGCTCTAAACGCATTCTGAATTTCGAATTTTCAACTTTTCTTTGCTAGAAAAATTCTTCATCCCAATTTTGGAATCAAATCTAGATTTTCCACAAAAACTCCTGAGTGGTGGAAACCGACAAATGTTGTTATTTTCAGATTTCGCGGACAACCCCGCGATCTCGTTCAGTGCCTATTTCAGCTGTGTTGCTGAATGCGCAACGGCCGCAATCACGTCCGCCACGGGATGAGATAAAGTGAGTTGGTGATTTCTCACATATTTGATCGGGATAACGTCATTTTTTGAACTTTTCTTCACAGAAGAATTTCTTCTTTATTTTTATTTTATTTTTTAGTTGTTGTTTACTTAATGTCGAATGTTTTTCTGCTTTTTTAGAAGCCCGACACGTCAAGTGCAAATCGACATGGTTCGCTATGACTTTCGGGCACCAGCTGATCTGTTGCGCAGGACTCCTGACGATCCCATAGGTTTTCAAAAAATTTGAACTGACCCCCCCCCCTCCCCATCAAAATCCGAAATACTGAAATTCAGGCAGCGAATGTGGTGAGGCGACGACTACTACGGAACGATTAAGCGATGGTGAAACGCGGATGGTCAGAGTGATTCGTGAAATTGGAGAACGAGGTGAGCTTTGGGCTCCTTGGCGGACAACTGGTACAGATCATGCATCACTGCCCACAGACTTTGTGTCAGTTGTCCACGGGAATTTGAGTTCAGTGAAATAAAATTGAATTAACTCCACTCCAAAAAACGAGGAAGACATGCTTCCAGAGTATTCCAGGCCGACACTTCACACAACCCGTGTCACGTGCAGCCGTTCGCGCTGCTGCCCATTCAATTAGTCGGGGTTTTCCCATCGTTACCGTGAATGTAACGGATCCAAAATCGTCCAGGAGGAGGACGATTAGCGATTTCCCACAGCCAGTAGTGGTTGAGGTCAGTTTGCGTTTTCGATAACTCAACAAAGTTCGCTCAAAGGGAAAGTATCAGTAGAAAGCTTGAGACTCCTGCAAGAATGTCAGAAGTCAAAACATGCAAGGAAGTATAAGCTTGAAAAAATACGCAACTCAATGGGGAAAAAGTTCAAAATTGCGAGAAAAAAAACGGGTAAAATCAGGAACCTTGTTTTATTCAAGGTCTCACACTGAGTACTAAAATTGCGAAAAAATTTGTTATAACGAGCGTTGCGCTTTCAAATTTCCGTGAACGCATGGCTGTCGTACTGTGTCAATTTCCCCGCTATACACATCTTCTCATTGCAGCGGTGGTATTCTTGTTTCAATGCAAGTTTATGTTCGAAATATTCGAATAAAGCACACGTTTAGCATAGCAGACTTAAATTTGAGCATGCCTAGAAGTAGGATCCCCACCGAAAATTATCTTAAGGGACTTAAGAAAGACTTGAGAAAACTATTTACTTCTATTGAAATTGGGATCTACACACGGCTGGATAACACAATGGTGTTGGTTGAGATATGCACTTTTTAAATCTCGCGCGTGAAGTAGGTGAATGGGTGTCACTGAAGCTAGTGGGGCGGTCCTAGCAAAGTATAAAGTAAAGTTTTCTATAAAGCTACATGATATTTCAGTAAACTTTTCCGCAGCTGTGCGAACCCTTTCATTTCTAGCAGTGGAGTAATCAGGATTTCCGTTCGGGAGGGAAGAGGGGACAAAAAAATTTTTTGATGAAGGTGCGTGGCGTTAGCCACGCACTCCGAACAATTTCTGGTATGCTTCCTAAAATTCTTGCGGGCCCCTACAATGTTCAGACAGCTCTGTTTTCTTGAACATCCTGTAACTATGTACTATGCAATTTCCAACAAAATTCTGAAATCAACATCGTGGGAACGACGGAGGATTACTCATATAGTATGTGAGAAACCGTAAAAAACATAGAAATTTTTTTTGATCTACATATTCGTTTGCACTATGCGAAAATGGAAAAAATAAGTTGCAAAACAATTGTTTTTCTCACAATTTGCGCAGTTCAAAGGCAATCTACCATTTTTATAGGTTCGCGATGACAAATCTTCTCGCACAACGGCAATTCCAGTGGTTCGATCTGCAAACACCTCTCCTTCAACTAGCCACGGTCCAAGACGGACCACCAGTCGAGCTGTTCAAATCGAGAAGTACGACTCGCGGACCCTTACCATTCCCCCTCCCCGACAAGATCGACGAGTAGAGACATGCCCCATCCCTGAACAAGAAGAAGAACTTACCCAGGAGCTTTCCCCACCACCACCGATGTGGTCACCGAGACAAGAGGAACTACTGCAACCACCTGATCCGGGAATCACCCGATGGGAAAATATAGACTCCGAAAGTGAGATTAGTATCAAGGAAAGAGAGCTAGCTATCGCTAAGGATACGATCAAAAGGGTATGTGTTGGAGCAAAAAAATTGTACCTGGAGCACATTATTTACCAAGTGAATTTTCAGCTTTCATTTGATCTGGCTCGATTGGAAAGCGAAAAACAACAACTTGAGATCGAAACGAGTTTGCAACGACAGAAGTCGGAAGCTGCTCTGGCTAGTCGAGTTGCTGGTAAATTTTCAATCTCATCTTTCAAAAATCTTCGATTTCTCTTTGCTGATTTTGGTTTTTTAACTTCAACACTTCATAAATGTATAAATGACATTTGAAAGTGTTTTTTCTGATTTCTGACTTGCCTTCTTTTACCATTTTGGGTTACCAGCTCTAAGGCAACTCCGTAAATGCTGTTAATCCTTCCTCCTCATTCCTCTCTTTTTTGTCTTTTTTCTTGTAGTTTTAGCAGCTTCAAACATTCTGACTTTTGGTAGCGATTCGGTGATCAAAGTGCTAGTGGCGCAACTTCAAGAATTGGAGAAAGTAGTATCTGTAGAAATTTCAAAAATTTGAGTAAAAGCATGTGTATATTATAAAAAACATTCCTCCAAAATTCGCTAAGGGTACTGACGCCGAACTTGCAATTAGGTTATTACTAGACTATTGATAACTTTGAAATCATGGGATTGAACTTGAAAAATTGAAAAAGATTGAAATCACCAAATTGTGTCACAAAATGCCGTAATGTTTTTGCAGTTTTGAGATTTCAAAAAACTCATGGAATTTCTTTGAGAAGAGAATCCACTGTCGGTGGTAGAATTCAATTCTTTCATTTCGCAATTGTTCTGCGGCTAAACAATTGTGTGCTAGCCATAGGTGCGATAGGGGGAGCAGGGTCCTCTCCAGATGAAGGGGGTTTTGGCTATTTCCGACCTGGAAAAGTGAAGAGGTTAACTGAGTCTTAAGATGAATGCTGACGCAAGCTTGCATGCCTAACGGCAGCGGGAGTGAAAAGAAGGAAAATAAGAGGTATAGAGGTGTAAAATGAAGATTTTCTCAATGCTTAAGCCTTCGAATGTCATCTAACAAAGACTTTTTTGACTCGGGAAAGCTTTGTGTTTCACCAGTCGACATATTATTCGAAAGCATGAGACATATAGAATCGACGTAGACCGTCTCTTTTTTCCAGCTCTCCTGTGAATACACATATAAGAAATCGTATCTAGCTTCAGCATCAACTGATTTTATGCAATCACTTTGCGCTCCATTTCTGAGAGAAAGAGAAGAGCTAGAAAAAAAGAGACGGTCTACGTTTATTGGCAAGGTCTTGCTCTGTGCTACTGTTAGAAAATCAGGCACCTTCATTCATTCCTCACGCAGGAATTTCTTGACAAAAACACACATGTTTTTAGCTAAAATGCCATGTATCTCTGAGTAGAGCGGAGCTAGAGAAAAAGAGACGGTCTACGTCGAATTCCTGTTTTGTGAGCTTTCTAATGGTATATATTTTGTTGGGTGAAAAAACTCGTGGTTTTAAAAAATTGAGGTGGAGATATTCAATACTAACTTGCACCACCCTGCTCCGGCTTTCTATGGGTAGCCGGAGCAAGACTTTTTTGAACCGGGAAAGCTTTGTGCACCAACAATCTGTATACCAGTCGATAGCTAAGCACACGAGGAATCGATGTAGACCGTCTCTTTTTTCCTAGCTTTTCTGTGAAGCGAGATACGAGCAATTTTACCCAGCTACAATATCAGCCAATTCTGAGTAATTATTTTTCAGATCAAGAAGGTTTTTTTCGAAGTTTATATATGATTCGAAAGCTTAAGAAACGAGTAATCTGAATGCCCTTTTATTTGTAATTATCCTCTCTAGTGAAAGGAGATATAGTACGATTCTTGTCAGTAAACATGCATCACAGGCTAGTCCAGATTTCCTACTCTTGCTCAACTCTTTCTGTGACAGTGTGTACTCACTGATACAATGTTGATTATCCAAAGAATCAGGTTTTTTTTTTGAATTTTTGATTATGTTTCGTTATCAAAGCCACTTTGAGTGCGCTGAAGGACTCAAGCATGCGTTTTTTCGTTGCTTCGATACTCTCTTGCAGTCTTGGTGTCTGAGGAGGGAAGAGCAGCTAGCGTTTCCTTTCCGAACAAAAAGTGCCGTTCTAACAGCTGTTTGATTATGCCATTATGCCTTGATTCTAGCAACCACAGGTGAAAGGGGTCAACCAGATGCCGGCCTTGAAGTGAAGGGGGGTCAGAGAAATTTCTCCACCTATCGCATCTATGGTGCTAGCTTTAAATTCACCTTCAATATTGTATGACATTAATCAAAAGTGTTGCCCTGTAAGCTACTCAAATCTTCTGGAAAAGTTACTTGCGTGCGAACAACGACTACGTATGCAAAACATTTAACAGACTTCGAAAGTGTGAAGTTGATCGGGTTCAAAAATATTCTTTTTCTAAAAGGACATTCAAAAAGTGTTGGCGATAAATGCCATGCAAAAATAAGTCGGAAACTGATTCACAGGCGATTTTCTCTTTCTGATTCGCTCTCCAGCCGGCCAGGAACATACATATTGCATTAGAAAAAAACTGCTACGTATGCATATGATTGAATAAATCATTTGGTTCTGGAATCCTCTCAAATTTTCTCTTGGTATTGGTAGTTTAGAACTAGTTCTACATTGTTGAACATTTTCTATCTGTAAGAAACGAATTTCTTAAAGATACTCGGAAAAATTGTCAAGCCATGCGCACGTATGGAATACGACGCAGTCGGCGAAATATTTTGTACTATTTTAAAAACGGAAAAGCAGGCAAGTTTGCATTTTTCAACTAATTCACTATAGCATAGAATTAAGACAAATTCAAGCCTATCTGCTCTTTAAGCCGCTTACATTCGCTAGGGATCTAGAAATGACATTTTTAGTTTGCTTCACCTATAGGAGTTTTGTGGAATTTTGAAAATATTCTTCATGTCATGTTGGTTCAAAAGTTTTCACCCTTTCTAAATCATTATCTGTTACCTTCTCACTAATTTGCCTACCACTAACTTTATAAATCAAAAATCATGTAATTTATGATGGTATTGGCTGAATGGTTTAGTGGTAAATACAGCAGACTTGGAGAAGAGAAAATTTATCAAACTTCGCCGATCTAATGAGCTCGTCAAAATTTGAAATGCGGTAAAATTACACCAGTGAAGAACAGTCAGTAACGTAATTCTTACTCATTCTCACTAATAATAAGTAAAGTTTTTCTGATTGAAAGTCTCTGAGTAGATTTATATCTTCTGAAAAATTGACAAAGAAATCGCTTTGTTTTTCAGTCAAAAATATGCCTGGACATTCGATCAGCGTAATGTTTTCGCAGCCATAGTAGCTTAACCTTTGATCCAACTGGCTTGGCGGCTGGAAGGCGGGACTTTTTTTGACTTAATTGAGGCCGCTCACGCCCGCGACGCAGTCTGCGTCTCTCCCGCGCGCGTGCTCTTTGATCATCACCTAACCTTAAATTAGGTCACGAAGCTCCGCCTTCCAGCCGCCAAGCAAGTTGAATCAGAGGGTACGTACTTAATTCACTAAATATTCTGAAAAATTTTGCATTTTACATGGCTTAAATCTCCACCAAAGCTTGTAAATCTTTTTTGCTCTTACCTTCAAATCCGGGCTTAACAGAAAGTGTTTAGGTTGAAATTTACCAATATATAACTCACTCTTTCCAAAAAAATTGGAAACAAGCAGAAGAATAGTAGTAGTAAAGCTTTCAAAATCAGTACGAACAGACTTTCGAACCGTTCCAGTATAATAAGTCACCCAGCACTGAACTAGGTTGAGACTCTTGCGCAGCCTAAAATTACTGCTACAGCGTTCAAATACCTTGCTATCTTCGATTTGTTTTAGATGTTGCAGATTCTTACGTTCACTTATAACTGATATTGTTCTATGACCCTTACACTCTCCGACAAAGGAAAAGGTCATTATCAAAGGAATTGATATGACATTTGCAGTTTGCAGTTATGATGGATTCATACATAAGCAATAATAAAATTCTTTCACGCAAAAAAGAAAGAAAGAACACTTAGACTAGAGCCATCAAGTGTTGGTTCCACTCATTTGCAAACATTCAAACCTGAAGACCACATCATAAATCGCTATAAATAGAATTTTCAATGTTTAGAGTTCCAAAAAGTTTGGTGCAGTGCACCATCTGTTTAATTCGTTCCAAATTAGGGCTGATTTATGTTTTGATATCATCATTTTTGCTGGAAATTAATATATTTCGATTCTGCGAACGAATGTCATGGTGGGCAGGCTGATTTACTTTCCATTTTAACATTTGAAAATCTTTAGATTTCAACCTACTCATTTTTTGGATCAATATGTAGGTTCAGTAAATCGTTAACAAAACGTTATCTAGCTATAAATAAATATCGTCTCAAAATATTGCATCTTTCTTGATTCCATACTTCATAACGTTTTCTAGCTACTAGTGAACCAGTAATTAAAGGTGATTGTTTGCATCTCCGCGCTTCGCGACCGCACCGCGGTTTCCCGCTATTTGATGATTTTTGAATGCAGCTTACGATTCTTTATATTAGGTCGTTCCGAAAGTAATGTCGCTTTTTTCGAATGAACGCCACTGTTCATGGAATCAACATTTCCAAAAGATCTTAGGAGCATTCGATGCAGCATTCCATCCTCTTTCTAATGGTTCTAATTTCACTGCATAATGTTTACTGAGCTCTCAAAGAATTACCAAAATCTGCGACTCATGCTTTTTGCCATGGTCAAGTTCGGCTATTTTTCTAAATTGTTGTACCTAATCTCCGAAAAAGCACAAGTGAAAGGTAGATAGAGCAAACACTATAGAAGAAAGAGTAATTTTTTCTTTTCCTTAGCTTGCTTCTAAGAGTTTCTACAATCAATTTTTCAATGCCATCAAATTCCATATTTAGTCAAGTCAAACCTCACAGAACAACAACCGGCAAGCGACTCGGGTGTCATTCGATGCAGCTTTTTCTCCTCTTTCTACCAGCTGTTTTTTGTTTCCGATTCATCAAGTTTTCGGGGATAAAATCATCTTAATTCAGGTTTTCCAGGGCGCCCCGGGCTGTACCCGGAATTTTCGAAAGTTGCTAATCTGAAGCGGTAAACGCTCATTTGCTTTGTAAAGTTAGTGTAAAACCATAATCCATTTTTGTAATCTCAAAATCCGACAATTTCTTGGTGTTTGATGCATTTGTGTCTGAGACGAGCCTGCTAAAATTCGGTTGTTCCATCAAAAAATTTGTACAAAAATTATGACGAGCTCTGGAAAGTAGAAAAAAGTTGTGCTGTTTTGTGTAGGGTTTGCTCCATCCATCCATTACTTGGACTCCTTCTGAGGTTTGTTATAAAACTTTGGAAAAATTGTGAAACTTGGCCTTCTCAAAAAGCATAGGTCGCAGATTCTGACTCTTTTCTGGAAGCTCATTGACTGTATCGCAACAAGTTCATAACCATTAGAAAGAGAATGAAATGCCGCATCAAGTGATACCAAAATCTCTTATACATCTTTGTTCCCCGAGATGTGGCATACGTTTGAAAAAAGCGACATTACTTTCGGAACGACCTAATATATTAGATATAAATATTTTCTAAGCGTATTGCATCTTTTTTTATTTCAAACAATCTCGGCACTATTTCCAAACTCAAAAATCAAAAATCTGTCATTTCTTTTTTTCAGATGCAATTACACAACTTCGCAGTAGCAGCACAGAACCAGAAACGCGGTCGGGAGAGAAGGTATGCGTCATTCTTCGTAACAGAACAAATAAATCTTCCGACCTTAAAGTTCATTTTTCCATTTCCTTCGTCGAACTTGTGCGCTGTCTACTGTATTCTTTTATTTCTTCGCCGTTCAAGTTACTGGTAGGCAATTAGTAGAGTTGGCGCTGAACATTTTGAAGAATATTTCTTCATTATCAAATTCTCAATCAAATGCCATCTGCAAAAGTTTTTCTAGCTTATCTGTCATTCTACTTAGCATTTTGCTTTGATTTTCTTACGGTAGCATTACGGTAGTGTCATCAAGATCATGGCTCATAAAACAGCCTTTCGCATTCTATTGTCTTGTTCGGTATCCATCATTGTCAGTCAATTTTATCTGAAGGTAATTTCTTGCCCCAGTATTTCAGCAAAATTTCTGATCTCCTGATTTAATACGATTAAGAATTGATTTGATGCGATTTCTACTGATCCTAAAGCAAAAAACCGCTAACGCATTCCTGCTGTATATGCTGATATAAACTTCAAAAGGAATTGGGTCCATTCCAGAGGTTTTGGATCTAATTCTGATATTGATTATCTATGATTTTGCTCTTTCTAAGCAAGAAGAAATCCACTACTTGTGTTTTCGCAAATTCTTGATTTCAAGTTTTATATTACTATTGATTTAGTCACTCAGAGCTATCGCAAATCAGTGAATTAGGACGCATGAACCTATAAAAGTGTATTATACGCAAAAAACATATAGCATTTGATTCAACTGGGGTGGCGGCAAGGAGGCGGGGCTTTGTGACCTAATTAAGACTGCTCACGCCCGCGACGCAGTCTGCATCTCTCCCGGGTGCATGTTCTCTAATCATCTAGCCTCAAATGGGTCGCGAAGCCCCACTTTCCAGCCGCCAAGCCAGTTGAATCAAAGGGTATTAGTAGAAGTTTTGTAGGGATACTGCAGAATTGCGATCGCGCCTAGTAGATCATTACAGGGATACTGTAGACCCTTACATTCACGTATCTTTCCAGATTTCTGCTCAGGATAAGTTACTCAGAGTGCTTAATCATTGCAAACAAGTGACCTACAGTGAGCGGAAAATTGAAAATTTGTGAAATCTGACTGAGGAACCGTGCCCAAGCAGGCGCTTCTCTATATTAGAAAGTGCTTCTGATAGTTCGTCAAGATGAATTGAATTTGGTTTAAAAACTTATCCATTTTGAAAATATAGCGAAGCGACGTGAGATTCAAAACTCTGGCGGTGCGATGATTTTTTTCACAAAATCGAGCGGCTCTGTACATACAGGGTGTTCCAAAAAAAAATGTGAACACTGTTTGATTGTTAATAACTCTTTTGTCATTGAGTCTTTCGAGAAATTATAACTACCTTTTTGTAGAGTTGGTTTCAACTTAGATTCACAAAATGCAGCAAATTACCTCTCCCTTTCCATTACTGTAGGGTTACGGTAGGAACTTTAGAGAGGATTTTGCGTCATTGAGGGTATAGTCCACCCCTAAAAAGCCCTAAAAAAGCTGAAAGCTCTCATCTAGGGTTAATCAAGGTCGCTGATTTTATACATGAAAATCGTTTCTTAAGTTATGCCAGAGGTCACGTAACGACCGATTGCTGAAATTCAAAAAAATTTATTAAGCCATCTAAAAAGCTCTACGAACACTCAGAAAGTCACCGTAGAAGTGGTGGAATCGGCATGCATGAAAACCTCGTTATATAGATTTTCAGGTTTTCTTTTGATTTTTTCGAACGGCCTATCTCACAGTGGCGCATGAACTGCGAGTTCCTACCGTAATCCTACGGTGATAAAGGACGAATGAGGATTCGCTGCATACTCCAAATCCCAGTTGAAACCAATTCTACAAAACGGTAGGCCTATCTCACAGTGGCGCATGAACTGCGAGTTCCTACCGTAATCCTACGGTGATAAAGGACGAATGAGGATTCGCTGCATACTCTAAATCCCAGTTGAAACCAGCTTCCCGAAAGACCTTTTGACAACAGAGTTATTAACATTCAAACAGTAGGCATATTTTTCTGAAACATCCTGTATTGTCGATACCCTGCACTACCACTATCCCACTTCCTCGCTACCGTACTCGCCAAGATCAACATTAAATGAACAAGTCCTTGCTTTCTTGTTGTCTTAATCATGTATTTGCTCCTACTATCAATCATCTCTATTTACATTCGGTTATATAACAACAGTTGACCGAGCCATGTGATTGACCTATGAGGCGTGCCAGTAGGCAAAAGGTTTTGCAGTTCAATTGAAATAACCCTTGATTCAACTGGCTTGGCGGCTGGAAGGCGGGGCTTTGTGATCTAATCGAGGCCGCTCGCGCCTGCGACGCAGTCTACGTCTCTCCTGCACGCGTGCTCTCTGATCATCATTTAGCCGTAATTAGATCACGAATCGCCGCCTTCCATCCGCCAAGCCAGTTGAATCAAAGTGTGAGACTGAGTATTATATTAACTTAGCACGACCATAAAAGTGTAACTGTGATTCGCGATTCCCGCTTAAGGACCCATAAATCGTATTTATTATGCCTCGAAACAAATAGTGCTGGTGGTGCAGACATTTCTCTGTCTGTCAAGGGAACAGTCGTTATTTATCTTCCCGAACATCATTTCAAATCGTATTTCATATTCTTGATGTCTTTCTACCAATAAATTACACATTCAGAAACGTCCTACGTCCCCGAAATTCGATCCGCTGGCTATAAAAGAGGAATGTGAACGTATGATGGAAGAACTTCGTCAGGAAGGTGGTGATGTTCTTCACGAAGACGAGCTCGTCAATGCCAGTGAAGTGGATCGTGAAATCGAACGTCTAAAACGCGAGGTGAGTGGGGTAATTTTTATTTTTTCGCTCCCTCTCCGCCCCTTCTCCTCGCTCATTTCTAGCTAACTGCGCTTACAGCATAATCCTGTTTGAATTGCTACGATCTGCCCATAGCATATATCTACCCTGTCTTATCAATTTGTCATGGTTACATGAGCTAGAAACCTGTCAGGGGCGCGGAAGCCGGGGGGGGGGGGGGAGGGTATAGCCTGGACGGGTACAGCAGCTAATGTCCGCTCATTGTTCCATCCAGCGTCTGCGCTTGAGTGGGTAAGCAAAGAAAGATTTTTTACGTGTTGGATTGGAAAATTTGCCCACAGGGAGCCGGAAATCTGTCTGGGATGACGTCATTTAGGCTAACTTTGCAGAGTTTAGATCCTTTCATTTGAACAAATCGGCTGTTCAAGCACTTCGCACTTTGCAAAATTTTGTTCTCACATGTCCATTCCTTTTTATCTTACGTAGAAGACGTTTCGAAAATTCAATATTTATACCGGTGCTGGCGGACCACAAAGGAGTTCAAAAATGGCTTACGAAAATTTTGAAAAAAGTCTAAATAATCTACAAAACTGTGCGAGTAATTCTTATACCTGTGAAAAACTAAGAAAATTTCTTAAATCAGTCAAATTTTCAAGTGGTATTGCAAGAAATTGTTTTGGCGTTTTTGTCAGATATTTCTCCTTCTAATTCACTCAATCATTCTTCGCTCAGTCATTAATTCATAGCAGATTCTCAGAACCGAATGTTTTAGAATTGTGCAAAATCTCGTCAAAACCTTGTCAATACTTTAGTTGCATTTGATCTACCACTGAATTTATGACTTTGTACTTTTTGATTTTATATTTATTACGCATTTGGAGACGGTGTATCTATGAAATGTGGATACATGCTTAGGAAACTTCTTTACTCATTTATTGATTCATCCGTACATCTATTCATTTTCTTGTTCCATCATTTTCTACGTCATTCCGTTCCTTTTTTTACATCATTACACAACCAGGAAGATACCAATACTTCGTCCGACCGTCACCGATTACCAGTAATGACTTACATTCACGAAACTTTCTATAGTCCGTCATGACTCCACATTCTCCCTGAATCATCCCATTTGTCTACAAATGTGCCTTTTTGACCACACAAAACTCGTCCAAATCCAGTTCACGTCCTTTTGATCAGCGAACGGCGAACGGCGGAATGGCAGCAAAAACAAGCCTTAGTTTGTCTCAGCTGGTGAGCAAATCCGTTACACGACTTTAGTGCGCGCTAGTCCTTGAAATAATGTGGGGACTTTTTCTTGTAAAAAACGGGGCTAATGGGGGGAGGAACGGGAGGAAGGGGAGCGGGGAAGTAGCCAAACTCATCCTTCGTCGAGCGATGTGAGATTACGGTAGGTGCTTTTGACGTGAAAATACTCTTTTTCTCTCCTTTTTCTACAATAAATGATTCATGCTAGCCAATTTTTGGCATTCCTTTTTCCTACCCTTGCCTCCCCCCTGCCTTTCTTTCATTCCTGTCTCAGTCATCTAAAAAATCCAATCTTGGTTCTTTCTCTTCCACCCATTCCCCTCCTTCTTTTACCTGTTTGAACGCTTAAAAATTCTTTCAAAGTAATTTTTTTCTATACCCGAAAATTCTTTCACAAACCTAGTTTGCTTGCTAAGATTTTTTTCAAAATGTATACTAACCATTCAAAAGGAAATTCGAGAAAATGTAGGTCATGCACATTTTTATAACCCAATTAGGCTACTTCTGAAAATTTCGCGACCCACTCTCAGCTAATTTTCTCTCCACCCCCCCCCCCCCTCCCCATCCATACCTGTCTCTTCTAGCTAAATAACAGTCATTTCTCTTCTCCCTTTCTCATTTCCCTATATCCTTCCCCTCCTAACCTACCCGCCTCCGCCTCAGCCAGCTAAAAAAAAAGTAATCTGGTGTCCTTTACTCCCCCCCCCTCCCCACATACCCGGTTCTGTCCTGGCCATCTAAAAAGTGAAGCATCTTGTTCCTTTCAAGTGCTCGGAATTACGAGTTTACTCTACGACTTCTTGGTGTTCTCAAAACTCACAATTTTTCCTTAAAATTCTATACTCTGTAGGACTTGGCATCCTATAAATAGTGTACAGTTATAGAAAAATTTATTGCAAAACCTAGCCGTATTTCTAGCCGCTCCATTAGCTTGTAGTAATTCTAGATCTTTGTTTACGCTCCCACTATGTTGATTGTTCTCTACTCCTGCACTTTATGGCCTATAATCTTCTGCACAATTCTTTCCATTCTGATAAGCCAGATTTCTTGGCTGTACTAATGGAATTATCCATTAACACTGCTTTCTGAACGCGCATTCACTACACTGCCTATCTTCTTTCGCTGAAATTTCTTTGCTTGATGAATCGGTAAATGAATCAGTGCGAAGTTTTCTTACTATGATGTAACGAATTTTCAATTAAAAGAGAAAACTGCAAGTTTTTTCTGCAGAAGGAACTGCTTAAAATCACCTTCGAGAATTCATTTCTAAACTAGACAGATTCTTCAGCCAGTGCATCCATTTTGCTTTGTACTGATTCTTTTGCCTCTTTTGTATGCAGAAATAATTAAGAATTTTCTTTCCGTCTCTAAGACGAGTTGAGTACCTTTTTGTTGGAAAACGTTTGCTTTAATGGAAACCGAAGGCCTCTAAACTTACCTTTTGAAAAAGCACAAGAAAGGTTTCTGAGGCCTACCTTTCTGGGCATTACTTCCAACCAGGGCAATATAATATCTCTTTGATTTTTTGTTAATCAATCAATACGGATCTTACATACGCGTTTATCTCAAGTCGCTCCAATCGCACGGCATTCGATTTCCTAAGCTATCGCATTACCGATCTTTGGATTCATTCGGATTTTATAGCTTATCGAATTTAATCCAGACGCGACCTGCTGCTTAAATCCCATTCTTTGCAAATTTGCTTGTCTTGTAAAATTTTTTACTATCTTGATAGACAGATTCGCTTGTATTTCTTTATAAACGATATTCTTCTAAGTTTGTGGCATTATGTGTGAACAATAGATTGAAGTATTTGTCTAATTGTCATCAGCTGCAGTGTGTATCTCGAAGAGGGGGCAAAAAAAATTTCCAAGTAAGGTCAGGTGATACCCTTGCAATCCGAAAACAAGACGCTCCAGATTTTTGGCGAAATTGTAACTGTGGAATTTTGAAAGGAGGGTGGCGGGTTTGGAAAAAAACTCAAAAATTTAGTTCAACTTTTTACGATCAAAAGTTTCTAGTTCACAACAAGTAAAAGCCCATGCACAGTTTCAATTACTCAATTACAGCTTATTTTTGTATGAGTTCTTACGAACATTTTGTAAATAGAATTCATCCCTTTTCTGCTTTTATCTTTCACATTTCTCTCTTCGTTACACTTCCCATATTATGCGCTTTGTAATCATATTAACGGGTCATAATCCAACTTTTACGACCCACATTTGTGGTAAAACTCGTCCTGCTCCTACACATTCGTTTCTAATTTAGGTAAGCGCCAAAAGCAATCACTCTGTCATGCGTACAGAGCTTGACAAGAAGAAGGCAAATAATATGGTAAGTGCTCTGATTTTATATTCATTGATTTATTGGTTTTTCAAAGCAGAAGTTAGTGTTTGTGTAGTGATGTCAGCGGATACTTCTTGTGATCGGGGTCTTTTGAGAGACGAGACAGGTTTTTCTAGCCTTGTGATAAGTAGATTTATCATCTGCAATAAGCAAGCATCCCCGAAGACTAATATTCGATTATTGATTGGTATCGATGATCCACATAGGCTCGAAAAAAACAAGTTGATAAATCCGCTATTTTGAAAAAAAGCTTCTCTGAGTTCACTTTTTGGGAGTTACTTATGGTGCCTCGTATATGTGAACCGTGCTGTTGAAAAATATTGATTGGTATCGATTGGTTCCCACAATTCAAAAAAATGCTCTACAGTTTGGCCTGAATGACGTAAAAATTGATTTTTTGCGAAACAATCCTTAGAAGCAACAACTGTGCGATTACAGTCAATCTTAGCTACAGTAGCCCATAAATCCCTCGAAATCCATTAATATCGAATTTTTAGCCCGATTCACACAGTATCGCGTCGACGTCCGGTGAAGATGATGATGGTGGTAGCGACAGCTCACAGGTAGGTACTTGTTATTTACATGTCAGTGATCTAATCGATCAATAGGTTAATCATACTGTGGAGTGTGTTGATACACTTGACAAAACCTGTTCTGGGGTGGTATGTTTGACTTGTTAGTTAGAGAGAGAGGGTTGAATGTGGGATCAATGCGCTGATTGTTGGTTGTACTTGCGCATTTTTGCTACATTTTTGTCGTGTTTGTTCGTGTATACACGATAATTTGATCGATTATTTGAATTGATCAATAAATCAATAGACTGAAGTCGCATTTGCATCTTTCTATTGCTGTAATTTCAAAGCGAAGTTCGCCTTAGTTCGTTTTTCCTTTTGATTTCAAATTTTGCTGAGAGTAGGTGTTGATTAGACATGTTTGGTACACATGCTTCACTCACTTTGCTATGTTACATTCTCCTAAGATGACCATGGGTATACGGTAAGAGATCAAAATACCAGAACTCTTTGAAACCCTGCGCAAAAGTCTCTTGATTGCTCGTGAGTACAACGTTTATTTTCACCTTTAAGTCTTTCACAGGATTACGATGTACTGCAGAGAATTAAAACCTAGAATTCGATACTAGCTATTATGATAGTGCCTTTTTCTGTAGAGTTACGTTATTTAGAGGTAAACAAATAGAATTCGAAGATACCCCTTTCACTTTCATACATTTTTCTCTAAAGTTACGGTAGGTGCAAAGTAAGGCAGAACCAGACTTTGACAACATTTGCATTTTCTGCCTTTTTTGTGGTTGTTGAGGTATGTGTAAGAAATTACCCAGAACTTGCCTAGCTTCGTCTAGGATTATTTTGGTTATTTGAAATGCAAATTAGCCACCACTCATCACAGTATTTCTTGACGTTGAATTATAATCCCAAGAATTTCCAAAAAAAAATTCAGTGTCCTTGATTGCCTATCGTACACTTATCATAGTCCCACGAATGAGGATTTACATTTAAACGAGAATGACTCTTTTTAGCAGTAATGAATAATTATGATAATCACAATTATGTACATATGTGTAAATAACCCAGTAGTCCCCAGAAAGAGTAAGGAAAACTTTTGGGTTCTGATTCTACACCGTAAATCTACCTCAATTCCCTAAAGGAATGCACATAAATGAGATTGCATGTATTTTTTTTCCAAATTAATATTTCAAAATTGCATCATGTAATGTTTCGTCGATCTATGATTATCAACATGTTCTTCCCACAAATCGTTATCGACTTCCTACCATAAACTCACGAAAAAATGGCTTCGCCATCCTTTAGCAAACAAATTTCGAAATGTAGTATCTCTAATGACAGATTTTTCCAATAACAATGATTTTACTATTGATGATTTTCTTCTTATCCTAGGGTTAGTTTACCAACCGCTTCAAATATCTAAACCCTTTTTATAACGATAATGCAGTAATGATGGCAGACGACACCAGCAAAACGAAACTGCAGAATTTTTTTCCCCTTCGCGGAAACTGGTTCCTCAAAGAGATCTTTTACATTCACTGAGACATGTAAGTCTCTTAACACCAGCTTGCAAAGCTCTTCACCAGTGTCGCATGAATTTTTATCAGAATGGGGAGGGGGGGGGAACGGAACTCCAACTTAGATGAGTCATTTTTGAATTGCTTTTCAGAATTTTGGCAAGTCTCCAATGCTTCAGAATATTATCTGAAGTTATAATGAATTGTAAAATCTAGAAATCACTGTGAATATTTACAAAAGAAAAAATGTTGCGAAATATTTGACTGTCATTATACTTTGACCCTTTTATTTATTACCCAGTGTATGCCATTTTTGTTTTCCGTTCTTTTTGAAAAATATCAATTTCAGATCATTTCCTTGCGGGACCAGGTAGTGATGTACAGTGCTAATGGTAACAATAACAACGGATCCGACAAAACCTCGCTAATCAATCGATTAGAGCGCGAACTGACCGATGCACAAACTTGTGTGAGTCCTTTAATAAGCTGTTAAGGTAAGTCTCAAACTCTAAACTAAATTATTTTCCTTTTTCAGAATCTCCGACTTAATCAGAAGATCGGTAGTCTCGTCTCGAGCGGTAATGCAACTTTGAAGAAGGAAATTCTTGAACTGAAGGTTAGTCTATCAGTCTAGTAACGTCTTTATGTACATCTAGAGTGATTGAATGTTTTGCACAACATGCGCCACAGCTCACGACTACTTAACAAAAAAACTAGCAAAATATTCTAATAGAACAAGCGTTTAAATGATTATTGGTCATAATATTGTTCAAATTATCTGCATCTGTCATCCAACGTCTGGGAAAATGTTTGGAAAATTCGCTTGAAATTGTATGACGTAAGAACACAAGTCGTGAAATGGCGCGTGTGGTGTGCACCATACAATTTGACTAAACGGATGACTCAATCAAACACTGAACACATAATCGACGTCATCAATTTATTTCTAAGCACACAAATTTGTTACCCTATCAAAGTAAAGTCCTCAAGTTAGTTGCGATCGATCGATATATCGATTAGTGTCATCGTGCTAGTAGTTTACAATGTTGATGATGATAGCCTGAAATGAAGCGCAATGATATTATGAGAATGAAAATAAAAAAGTAATAATAGGTAAGAAATTGAATAGTGAAAAGTAACAGCCATATATCTTCAAAAGACAAAATGCCTTTGCCTTTCCCTAGTAGAGGATGGTCTCTCATACTTCTACCGTAACATTTTCTAGTCAAGACCTACCTGCTCTAGCGCCCGATAGACCTTGCTCCATGTTCTCATGGAGCTTTCATTCATTTCCTCATCTCCTAGTATATGCGAGAGCATGGCAAACATTCCTGAAAGCAATTCCAAATCTACCATATTATTGATTGATATTGATTGGACTCACCTTCTGTCATCGCTCGTCTTGCAAATGTTGGACATATTTCCAATACCATACATTTTACGACAAAATCTTTGACTTTTGCCGGAAGTTCCCAAAAACCCGTTGTTTCCAAATAAGACTTGATTGTTGTGTCAAACGCCTGCAGAGGAGATATTTTCACATTTTTTAGAGAATGGAACACAATCAGAGAAATTTCTTACTTTCATTGTCTGTTCAGCAAATTGATCATAGACCAAACTAGTTTTCTGTATTGGCAATACCAATGGTATATTGTGTGCATCGATGAGTTTGGAATAACTCTGAGAACTTCAAGTTTTTTGATCTACAGATGTAGATGAAATAAAACTACCCGTAGTGCTTTGTCACAGAATATCACTCCAGCCTCGGCCAATCCATATTCTACAATTTTCTCCCACTTTTTCCTGCAATACGTTAAATCAGGGTTTGTTCGCTTGCTAGTGTGAATCCCAAATAGAAGTTGAAATTTTAAATATTTTATGTTGGCTCACTCTCCATAGTAAGAAAGAAAATTTTTCTAGGAATTAGAGAACGGACAGATTTTCAAAAAATGCACTGTACTGCAAAAAGTTTTCTTCTCAATGCTTATTGAATTTTTCCTTCCAGTCTTGAAAAATGAACCAAAAAAAAGAGAATTTAAATTGTATAAAACAAATTTATCATATTAGGTTGTCCGGAAATTAATGCCCGTTTTGAATTTCAACCTCAATAAGTCATACACTTCTCACTTCTATATAGGTTGCAAAGTACCATTCGATAGAGCAAAGCAAGCTCTACAAGACGGCCATCTTGCTTTTGCAACAGCTCTCATTCACCTCGAGTCTCAAGGCGAAAAGTAAAAAGACTCAGCAGCCCGAAAAATCGAAAAAAATCGCAACTCAATTCATAAAAGTCCTACAAAAATTCTATCTTGCTCACGTAAACACTATCCACATAAGACATCTATATACGCCTTTGCCGTATTTTTTCCTCTGTTAGAAATCAAGAAAACGGAAATTTTCATGCATTTGCCAAAGTGATGCTATGCCGTCCCCACATAGGTAGTTGTATACCACAAGCCTGTAGAAGTACAGACCTAAATTTCCAGCTCTCTACAGGCTTTAGTTCTCGAGAAATACCGAACATAGCTTTCCCTAGTCAGGTGCTCCAAGCTAAAATCCAAATTTTTCGAGAACTAAAGCTTGTAGAGAGCTGAAAATTTAGGTCTGTACCTCTACAGGCTTGTGCTATACAACTACCTATGTGGGGATGGCACAGCATCACTTTGGCAAATGCACGAAAATTTCCGTTTTCTTGATTTCTAACAGAGGAAAAAATACGGCAAAGGCGTATATAGATGTCTTATGTGGATAGTGTTTACGTGAGCAAGTTAGAATTTTTGTAAGACTTTTATGAATTGAGTTGCGATTTTTTTCGATTTTTCGGGCTGCTGAGTCTTTTTACTTTTCGCCTTGAGACTCGAGGTGAATGAGAGCTGTTGCAAAAGCAAGATGGCCATCTTGTAGAGCTTGCTTTGCTCTATCGAATGATACTTTGCAACCTATTTAGAAGAGAGAAGTGTATGACTTATTGAGTTGAAATTCAAAACGGGCATTAATTTCCGAACAACCTAATAATTATCCGCAAATAAAGGCAAGTTACTGTGTACTACCCGATGTGGGCTCCTACAAAAAATTTCGCAAGCGGGGGGGGGGGGGGGAAGGGTGTCAAAGGAGACTGAGACTTGAGAGGTTTTACATCGTTTGCAGTCTCATAATCTGTGCCTCAGTAGATAATCCTTTGATTTTCCTTGATTTTTTAGAGCATCAGGTTTAGCCATTGAATCTGTCTAAAATGTTCAAACTGTTTTGCTTCTTGAACTTTTTCGTTTAATATTGCCGTTATGGTACGTAAGGACCAAAACGAAATAATTACCGTATTTCAGCAATCTCGAATGGTGTTGTGCATTGTTTCAAATAGATATTCCTTTGATATGATATTCCTTCACACATGAATTTTTTCACGTCGTTGAGTAGCTAAAACCGAAAAATCAATCAATATCTACTTTTTTCACACCGTTACCAATCTCCATGATTGTTCCGTATCTTCATCCATTTTGCTAGGACCTACAAGATGATTTTTCATCGTTGTCATCAATGCTTCGATAAATATCTGCAAAATCAATCGATTATTGATTGATTCAATTAGAATTCTATACGATCCGTACATCTAAATGCGGTTCACACGCTTCGTAGAAGAAATGATGTGCTCCCATTTCATGTAATAGCTTTTGTAATGATTCGCGATCGTCCATATTTTCCATGATCATCGTTATCGCCGATTGTACAGAGGCGCAATGGTGTCTAAAATGTTGTAATTGTACGGGGAATTACGCATCGTACAGAAGAATTGCATACTTGAAGTAGAAGTCATCATATATGAGGAGCTTCCAATCCGGCGTGGTGTCGTTGATTTTCATTCCAAATTGCCAAACCGGTCGAATATGTTTGTACTTCTCTAGTATGTAAACAAATGTGTTTTGTACAACAAGCGCCTGAAATATTGTGATCAGGGCAACTTTTTAAACTTCCTATGCGAGAACAAAAACTATCTGTAGATAAACCACAGTTTTTTTCAGTTCTGGAGGTTTTCAGATTTTATCTTTTTCCAAGCTATAAGGCTACTAGAAAAGACTCCACAGAAATGCATGCATTTTGCTCATGAGTTTCATTTCGACTACTAAGGCACTAAATCGATTTATCGATTGATGGGACACTGCGAAAAATTCAATTCCTCCAAAAAACAAACTCTTTTTGAGATTTAAAAAAGCATTTAGGTGCTTCTCCATGGTTTGTCGATTACTTATCTTTTCACACTTTCATCACATCCAATTAATAATCCTAGTGTCACGGGGGCTCCTGCCCGGAATGATCGATATATTGATTATAGTGCCTTAGTGTGATCTTAGAGGAAAGGTCGTATGAGAACTGTGTTCCCTCAACATCCGTACAAAGAGATATTGATAAATCTGCCGTAAAGATTGCAGTCTAGCGACTGCATCGAAAAATCAATACATCGATTGAATGCTTTACTTTGTTCTCGAGTAAAAGTCACTGGAAAATAGTCTCATGTTTTGATGACATTTTGAATACTATCACTGTTGATGGTAATCGATACATCGATCAAATCTGCTTCACCGTGTACCCTTTGCAACGGGATTGGCTGCTGGAAGGCGGGGCTTCGAAGCTTATCAAGGCTAGAAAGTGATTGGAAAGTAACGGGATTGGCTGCTGGAAGGCGGGGCTTCGAAGCTTATCAAGGCTAGAAAGTGATTGGAAAGTTCGCAAGCGACAGAGACGCAGACTGCGTCGCGGGTGCGCGCGTTCGCCTTCAATCCGCCAAGCCCGTTGAATCAAAGGGTAGACGTCAATGATTTCTGCATCGAAAAATCGACATATTGATTGATAGCGCTTTAATGTACTCTAATTAAAAGTCGCTTAGATACTTTCTCCCAATGGCTTTTGTATTATAAACGGTGGATAGGTCAATATATTGATCAGAGTTGCTCTATATACTAGTGCAAGTAGTCTCGCTTTTGTAAATAGTTCTGATTTGTTGATAGCTTTTGTTCGAGTTACTGGTGCATTACAGTAATCGCTAAGTTGCACTAATCAATAATTTCAATCGCGCACCTGTTTGTTAAGTTTATGCAGCTGAATCCAATGTGCACGGGCCATGTCGCCAACTTCTAGAACTAAACCACTGTCAGAGTAATCGCTTTCGCTTTCCTAAAAAGAAAAAGATTATCGATTTGAAATCAATGACAGTATCCAGAGAGTTCAGAATCCTAAACTTTCCACGTGAATACTGATTGGGAGGCCCAATTCAAGTCATAGTCCAGGCGCCAGCTCTCAAATTTAACTCCTAGACAAGGAATTCAATTTCAAACTCTCGTCCACTACCGTACTCGAGCAGGCTGGTTGGCCCACTTGGAAAGGTTGCGGTATTGGGCAAGAGATTAGAGTGCAACTTCTTGACTGCGAATGAATCGTATGAGCTGCCGTTTGGGCAAAAAGCAAAGCTTAGCTTAGCAAATAAAGTTGATTTTACCTCTTCTGTCTCATCCGACTCAAAGCCCTCTCGCTCTACAGTATGTACTTGTCCTGAGTTGTCTATCACTGTCACTCTATCCGATTCAAATGAGCAGGCGGCTTCCATAACTGATTTCATCGTTTCGTCAATAAGCTGCAACATCTTTACTTTCTCGAAAGTCCATGATATTTGCCTAGAAACACATGCTCAGCTACGGTATCACTACCGTAGGCTAATAAGACAGGCAAGTGCAATTCCTAAACACTAGGTGCGAACCTCCCTAACCCGATATTCCCGATACATGGAGGAGTTCATTGAAAGGTCGGAGGCCTTTGTACGATGGATCTGGAATACTCATAGGTTACTGTGAATCAATTTCTTTCAACAATATCACAAGCGCGCCAACCAATCAGTGACTTTGAGTATACAGTAGAAAATACCATCTGGGCGGGAGGTCAAAATTGACTTCCCTGTCAGGTATAAATCATATGAGCTGTTTTTTTGAAAAAACGGCTTAACCAAGCCCTCTCGACCAGTTTTTACGGAAGAAAACGTTGTTTCCCAATTCATATGGGTTCTGCCTCTAACATTCAGAAAAGTTAAAAAGGAACAGTTGAGAAAAAAGCAACTTAGAACTTAGAAAATTTTCTTGGTAAATTGCCAATTTTTTTGAATAACCATCACTAAAAATGTAATTCTATCTAGCACATTTAGACAAGCCCATATCGAGTACATACTTATAGGATTCTTATGATATACAGGATTGAAACCAGTTCCTTTTCGCTTAGACGACCAGCGAAAAAGAAAACTGGAAAACTACATACAGCTTGTTACGAGTGGATGTACATCTGTGTAGCTACTAGATCACAAAATGAATTGGATTTGCAGAAAATCAACGCTTATTTCATAATGTTCTCTACCACACACGTCTACTACGTCGAAATCATTCTTATTCCTTTTTTCTCTTGAGAATTCAGCAGTTTTTCCTTGTCTGACCTCTTTTTCCGCCAAACTTTTGCCACTTATTTGACAGCCACTGCTTCTTCTATTTCTCTAAAGTTCCTTGATTTTCTCTGTCTCTACGAATTTCCGAGAATCTACTAAATCTGAGTGAATGTTTGCTTGGTGTTATCTCCTCTCTCACCGCACCCATGCTACGTGTATGTAAACTCACTCCCATACCAAATGCACACACTAGAGTATGTACGCGCAACTGCACACAAACTTTCCGTCGTGGATTTCGCAGACACCCACCTCACTGGCCTCGATACTTACACTCTTTTACCTAAATTCTTGATGCTTTTGGACTTTAGCGTTTGGCATGACTATGCTCAATTCTTCGTTTTTTCGTTTCAAAGTTAGTGAAATCCAAAAAAGTTTGTGCATTTTCTTCCGAAAATTTCATTAGCAAAAGATTTGATATTTTTTGAATTCTCATCAGTCGTTTTCGAATCATCCTCTCCACTAATATGTCCTTGAGAAAGACATGGAGAATTCTCAAGGTTTGTGAATATTTGTAGCAATGATTACATATTCGATGCACTGAATTTCAAAATATCTTCATAACCCTTTCTGATTGGGCAAATTAGATACCTTTCTACAATCACGCATCTTCCTTTTTTTGGTCCAGTCTATAGGGCAACACCTAAAAGGCCTAATACTCATTTTGCTGCAGAAAACAAATTAGGGTATGTAATTCTATCCAACGTATGTTTTGCCTTGTGACTGGGTAGTTGGATAGTTTGATCAAAACATGCCCGCTTTGCCGGTGAGTCGCTCATTAAGCCCATTCTTTGGACTTGTATAGTCTCTTCTAATTGATTTTTGTGAAGGGAGTCCTGAAAAAATTGAGTACCCTAATTTCACGCGTATAAGGCGCGGGGGATTTTTCTTCCAAAATCGACCAGCCCAGACACGCCAAAGCACTTTACATCCAAAGGACCCTATAACGGGCTGTATATTGCTTGAGGGCGATGTAAAGATTTTTTTCCGGGATGCAGTGAACCGGCTGAGCGGCTCTCTTGAAAGTTCGAAAAAGTGCGCCTTATGGGCGTGAAATTAGGGTAATTTGATTTTTAAGCAAAAGTGGTGTGCTAACTCTGTAAAATTTAATGGAAGCGTGATTACTTACCGCGCAAATTTTGTATTCTCAATCAGATTCATCGAGATTTTAGACTGAAGCTTCATATGATTTAACAGTTTAAAATAAGCTAATCACGTTCTAGGAGGCAGCTGAAGTAAATTTTGAATTCCTAATGTACCCAATTGTGAGAAAGTCTGCAGTTTTACTCACAAATGTCGAACTATTCGAGAGATAGCATGTAACTGTATGTTAGTGAATATTTTTTCGGTATCCAACCTTTATTTTAGAGCTATTATCAGTATCTCGCTCATGCATCTTGCAAAATGATTTGGCGATAATTTCAAGAATCACCATCGTTTATTACGTAGCCACGTTTTAAAAAGAAAAGCCTCATCAATACAATGTACACATTCAAATCTTGAATATTTTGGTGTCCCATTACAGTCTTTTACGTGTCACCTGCACCGCTTTTATCTCCTAAGGAGTAATAAAAGTTGCCTTATCATTACCAAGCCATTTCCGTCGCCTTTGCTAATAATATTCTTTCGCAGCCTCTGCCTTTCCCATTACTGACGAAATGCTCAGAAAAATCGCAGTTATTGTGACTTTGAGAATTTACTACTCTGTTTTTCCTCTACCTCACACTATATCACTCCACTCCCTCATGAGCGAGAAATTGCTTATGTATATGCTAGTCGTTTGGTAGTGGTTTTCTCGCAATTGTAGTGGCTCAAATGGTCAAGCCATTGATTAATATCGATCTGACTTGCTCCTTTCAAAATCAACTTAAATAAGGAAAATGGATATTCATTCTGTTTTTCGTGAAATATTTGCCTGTTAACTTTAGCTCTGACTCCTACAGCTTTGCAACCCATCAGTCTATTTCAAAAAATTTTCACAGTTCTCACTCAAATTTTTCCCTTTTTGTTGATCTCATTAAAAAAAACAAGATCTTCGTTTTCTCTTCTTTTGAGCGCCTAACTTGTATTTTGCACCAAAAACCGGTTACTTTATTTGCTGTATAGCACTTCTTCCCAGTAGAGAAGAATAATGGTTGATTCATTCCGTCGTTTACCAAATTTGTTCAAATATTGATTGAAACAAAGATTTTGCAAAATTTTTCAAGATTCTGTAATCTTCCCAGTATCGCTGTAATTATTGGTGGTATTTGAAGGGGCACAAGCTGCCAAAATAACACCTGAATCCTTGACTTCAAAAACTTGCAGAAAATAAAGATTCATATTTATCACGAGAGCTGGTGATTCTTAATTTTCAAATGTTTAACTCCAAAAAAACTTAACAAATATGGTTGAACACAGCTTATTGCTACAATAAATAAAGTTTAGTAAATTCTAGCTTTTCTCAGTCGAAATTTGAAAACCTTCTGTGCGAGATTTTAGACTAGTATACCAGTAAAAATGAGAATTTCTCAATTTCTGAACTTCATGTCATCTCTCCCCCCCCCCTCTGGCCCTCGTCCTTGCGCATAAATGTCGTCCACAAAGTCATTGACCTAAGAAATCGCTAAAAATCGCCGATTTGCCGTTCTTAGAAGTTCCGAAATATTGATCACTTGTCCTCAAAACGTTCCGATTTGATTCATCGCTGTTTGTTTTCTTTTGAGAGAACGACGACGGTCTCGACCGCGTACGTGCTCTTACCAGCCGCCGTGGTGGACGTCATCGACTGTTCGAACATTTCTCAATACCAACTTTACTGTTATCCTGTCATTTTTTCTAAGCTCAAAATGAGTGAAGAAAAATTCGGCTACCCCTTCCTATCCTTACCGGTGCATGAAAGATGTCAAAAATACCTCAAATATCGTTAAAAAATAAATAATATTGATCGAAAATCCTAGATGTAAAAGCTTTTGCATTGCTGTGGTGCAATCTTACGCCGCCCTATGTCCAAAAGGGTGAAAATGTAGCAATGATGGCGATTAGATTTCAATTGTAAAGAATTGAATTTTCACTTTGTGAAAATTTTGTTTGGTCTATAGTTTTTTGAAATTCCTGGCTCCCTCCCCACCCTCCTCTCCCCCAACTGCTTATTGGTGCTTATAGCGGGGTGTGGTGGGAGCCAAGATTTCAGAAAATTTCAGGCCATACAGAATCCTTGTAGAGTGTAGGGTTATTCTGAATTATTTACACTATCTCAACCATTCAGTTGTTATTCCGTCCTCTAAACGCACTTTTCCAGCTTTTCTTGGAAAATTTTTTGCATTTTTTGGAATTTTTTGTAATTAACTTCTGCTTTGGAGATTTTTTTAAGACATTGTGGACTACTTTTGAATAAGATTAGAACCTAAAATTGATAATAACTCGGATCATATTTGTTTATCAGAGTATCACAATCTCTTGATCTTGTTTTTCATAGACTTACATGCTACCTTTCCCCGGCATTCCAGAGGATCAGAAGTGTAGATGTCCTTGACAGTTTCTTATGATTTGCTGTCAATAAATGGTCTCACATGACATTCCAATGTTATTGTAATGCCTTTGCAATCTCGCTGCTTCATTGCTTTTCATTTTATCGCAGCTATCTTGCTTAACGTCATTGCTTTCTGCTTACAGTGATAGCTGTATTTCGTAACCCAGACGGTTCATTTCAAATTCTTCCACCAAAAATACCTACGAGAATTTTATTCCCACTCTTGTCGTGTCAAACGCATAAAACCCTTTTATTTGACGTCATGGGATCGTTTTCCCATTGTAGATTTATTTATGCAAAATAGCCTCCCGTGCGATAATGTTGTTTGCAGCAAACAACATCAAACGGCTGTCTAATTATTTTTCATTTTATTTGGGCAAGCTAGGTGGGAAAAAAGCCTGTTCAATCTTTTTTCTGCTGTGAAAATAATTCTAGTGCTGAAATCACGAATACTGAACCAGTTGGGTGTTTAATTATTTTTCTATTTATTTAATTATTCCTCTATTTTGATGCATTCCAAAAGAAAGAAAAAACTAAAAGAACCAGCCAGTTACAACACATAACAGTTGGAGAGTTTTGGCTATTAGTCATACACTAGCCGAAGAAATTTGCGCTGGAGAAGGGGTAACAGCTGAGAGTGCACAACTCA